CTCTGAAACGCAAAAAAAGTCTGGATATAAGTTAAACTACAACTAGAAAAAACGGCGACGTTTTATAGGCCAGAGCCTCAATTCTTAGGTCTTACAATTTATCTTTATATAGAATTAAATTTAAAATATATAGTACATAATTAAATTTTATGAATTCCAATTATTTTAATATTACATTTATAATAAATTCATAAAGAAAGTAATCATTGTTCTTCTAATAATTTTATAATCTGTCAAAAAGAGAATGCACTATCGAAAAGAAGATCGTTAAGGGTACAACCCTTGATACACCTACGAATGTAAGACCTGTTGCGGTAATGTCAAAACTTGTGATTTATGAATTGTAGTTGCCCAGGAAAGAGAGCAAATACCAGATTTTCCCTCCCAAGTGTATTTGATAGGTCGAATTGGTATTACTTGATTGCTGTTTATTGTAAATCCAATTCAGTATTGTTCTGTAGTCGTGCAATACCAAAGATAAGTCCCTCATACTCATACTATGTAAAAAACAATAGATGTTACAAAGAAAGAGATCTGTTGAGATAATGCCCAAAGTAGCCCACATGTTTAAGAACCAAAGAATAAATTCATTCATTTAAATAAATTAAAGATCGTTCGTTAATTATTCTCTAAGCTCTAGTAATTCTCAATTACTTTCACAAAAAAAAGTTCGCTAAATACTATTTCGAAGATTACTGCTTTTCATAAAAAAAAAAGTAAAAAAAACTAATTGGATAAATGTCGAGTTTGTTAAATAAATTCTTCTGAAGGAAATTCTATTGAATAATTTTGTTTGGAATCTATCTATATATAAATTGTATACGTGTGTACATGATCCATGAGTATAGTTGGCGGTAGAATTCATAACAGGAATTTTTAACAATGATTGCTAATCATTTTATTGTTGAAATTTCCTTTTTGGAATTCTACCACCAACTATATCCATGAGTGCTACACGAATACGTATAGATCTGTTCACGTAGCAAAATGCGTCAGGACTAGTTCTTTATAAGACCAAAATATCAGATATATAAACTTATATAGTTACGTATTGGGTGAAAAATTATAAGATCACGAAATATTTATTGTTTTCATGTGATATGATTTAATCAGTTAAAACCTAACCGGTAACCTCCTATCATAAATTGTCGAAAATGGTAATTTGACAGTTGATTGGCTGACACGTGCTGCTTTAAGGCACATGTTCATTGCCAAATTACTGTTACGTACTGTATTTCTCCAGTATTGTACGTATATGTATTCCATGTTACTACGTACTGTGTGTGTATGTTATCCTTATAAACCCAATATACTGCGGAAGAGCTATTGAAACATAACCATAACATTCACAATTTGCCTGTAGATTGGTATTAGGATAATAGTGATCGGGTGTTCTGGCTATGGTTTCACCAAAATATGCGCCAAATGAACTTCCTTACATGTACGTATTTTTTAAATGTAAGATCTAGTCATATCGGGAATTATCCTGTTGACAAGCTAGTTAGTAAGGAAAACAATGTTTATATAAATAATTTTTGTTGGCGTTAAAAATATTTAACACAAATAACGATAGTTCATATAATACTTTGAAAAAAAAAAAAAAATGAATGAAATATTTAGAAGAATTTGGATATTTTTAAAAAATCTTTTCATATTTACATATAAATTTACAATTCCAGCATCACCTTTTCTTTTCTTTGCTTTTCTGCCTTTATATCTTTGTAGCATTTTACTTCTAACATACCCCTTTATATACTACTGTTATTTAATTCTTTTTATCCCTTATGGAAGGTCTCTTACAAAATTGAATGAATTATTTTTAGTTCATAAACGATTAATAATACTATATCCAAAAAAATTCACGTATTTTGTAATAATTACTCTTACATTATTTACTGTTATATTTTTTGCATATTATCTAATTATAATTCGTCATGCAAGCTTTTCATTTGCATATGCAATTTTTACAACGGAAATAATTTGGATAGGAATATTAAAATGTTGGGGAGCTGACGTTATAACTATCTTTCCATCTGGTTCAAATTTTTTGTTTATTCAAACTATTTTATTATTTTTTCTTATAGATGTATTATTTTTATATTTATATATCATTTCACTTTATTTACATTTACTTATCACAAAGGGAAATTTTTTATTTGTAATGGGTATTATATTACCTATTATTTTTTTAATTTCAGCTTATATATATCTTTCATTAGTGCTTAGACATTTTGGTTATTCGGTTTGTTGTAAATATATATTAACTTTATGTCCAATATGTGGGAAAAAAAAAACTCATACTGCATGGTGCCAGGAATGTTCAACTACATATTTTAAGAAAGACTTTATTAATTGGACTAGCGAAAATCTAAAAATTGATGAAATGATAAAAGAAACTCAAATCAATTCAAAGACTCCGGAAGATTTTATTGAGTGGATTCCATATGAACAATTTGAAAATGTAGAAAAGCTCTGTCATGGTGGATTTGGAACTATTTATAGCGCATATTGGAAAAAAGGACCACTTTATATGACTGCATATGAATTCAAAAGAGTTGGAAGAACTCATGTAGCACTAAAAAGTGGGATTTCTTTAGAACATTTGGATAAGGTAATTATATTTTAAACTAAAGTAATATTATTTGTTAAATTATATAAATGTGTTTATATGTGATATTTATTTTTTAGCTTCGTGAGCACATAAAATGTCATACAATTTCAACTTTCTATACGAGCAAATATATGTATAAGAGTGGAGTCTCTCCTATTCTTCATCGCTATGGCCTTACTAAACGTTGTGTATCTGGAAATATTGAGGAATTTATGCTTGTAATACAATATGCAGAAGACAGTGATTTACTAAAATATTTAACAAAAAAATTTAACAAAATGAGATGGCTTGAAGATAAATTACCAATTCTTGCTAATATTGCAAATGGTCTTAAAATTATTCATAATGAAGGTTTAATTCATCGTGATCTTCATTGTGGAAATATTTTAATTGATTATGATACAACATATATTTCTGATTTTGGACTATCACGTACCTTTGGTCATGAAGATTCTACAACACATAAATTATATGGTGTATTACCATTTGTAGCACCAGAAATTTTTACAAAAAAACAGTTCAATCCTAAGTCTGATGTATATAGTTTTGGAATTATTATGTGGATGTTTACTTCCGGAAGTTTACCATTTCATAATCGTAAATATGATAAATACTTGGCACTAGATATATATAATGGAGCTAGACCTCAAATAATAGATGGAACTCCACCCTGCTTTGTTGACCTAATGCAAAAATGTTGGGATTCTGAACCTGAGAATAGACCTACTTCATCTGAAATTTATGATATAATTTGTTCGTGGTATTATTTAAAAAATTATAATGAATTTAAAGCTTCTGACAAAATTTTACTATCACAAAATAATCAAGATATTGAAAATCAAATTATACTAAGAATTTTGAGGTATTTGAACGGACAAAACAATTCATATCATAGCTGTAGAATTGATTTAAGCCTAATATCAACTGTTAATCATTCTCAAGGTATCAAGTTTATTATTATCCTTTTTTTGTAAAAAAGCTACAATTTATATTAACCTTGTTAATTTATTTTAGATACCCCAGCTAGTTAAACTTGGAAATGATGCTTTTTTAATATGTAAAATTCTATTACAGTCGTTTTTTATAAAGAACTGCTAGCTTTTATAGTAACCAATCTAAGAGTTTGTTAGAATGTAATTTACTATGTTTCTATATTGAATTCTATGAAAAAAAGTTCGTTATAGCGTGGGTTTGTTATAAAAAACTTCATTATAAAGAGTCAACTATTAGTTAAATTTTTTT